CAGCTTCTTGAAGTGGTTCGGGCTACCCTCGGTGGGCTTCCAACCCCCCTTGCGGTCGGCAGTGGCCACGAGCGAGCCCTCGCGCCACTGCTTGTTCTTCTTCTTGCTAGAATGGTTGGAGGCGCCTTCGCCGGTGTCCTCGTCCCGCTTCGCCTTGCCCTTGAGGAGGTCAAAAATAGCACCAACTGCCTCCTCGCCCGAGGCATGGCTGGTGGCGATGTCAAGGAGGTCCTTGGTGGTTCACAGGCCCATACGTCCTGGCTTGTAGACCAGGGACTCATAGGTGGTCCCAGACAGGAAGGCTCCTATGACGTCGGTGTTAGCGACGTTGGGCAGCTCGTTGCACTATTGGGAGAAGCGCCGGATGTACCCACAAAGAGTTTTCTCAGCCTTCTATCAGAAGTTTTTGAGATCCCATGGGTTCCCAGGGTGCGCGTATGTGCCCTGGAAGTTTCCCACGAAGATCTCTTTCAGGTCCGCCCAACTTTGGATTCTGTTGGGCGAAAGGTGTTCCAACCACATTCGCGCTGAATCGGCCAGGAACAATGGAAGGTTGCGAATAATGAAATCATCATTACCTGCTCCACTGGCTTGGCAAGCAAGCCAATAATCCTTGAGCCACAGTCCGGGGTTCGTTTCCCAAGAGTATTTCATGATGTTGGTTGGTGGTCGGTACCGTGGTGGGAAGACATCGTTGAGGATATGTCAACTGAAGGCCTAATGTCCTAGTAGGTCAAGGCTTGGGCTTCGGCTATCATCGCTATCATAGCCTCTACCACGATGAGGGTGGTAGCCGTGGCTAGCCCCCGCCCTCACATCGCCATGGGCACGCCTGTGGGCATCGAGGTTGTCGCGTGCGTCATGGTGGCGGTCAAGACGCTCATGCACCGGGACCGCGGTGCACGGCCTACCGCCTTGCGGCGCCTGGTGGACTGACACGTCCTTATCGAGTCGCTCTGAGGGCGTGCGTTGGTTGGCATTGAGCTCGCATCGTTGGGACAGCGAGCTCCCGGCCTGCTGCGCCGCCGCACGCTCGAGTAGCGTGCAAATCTCATGATGGGCGCGACGATCCTCGGCGTCGTGGGCTTTGAAGCCCCGGAGCAAGGCCACCACAGCAGTGATGTTCTAGCTTGCTCAGGCGAAGTGTGGGAGCGCTTCATCGTCCTCGACGATCCTCCGGTTCACGTCGCAGGCCATGGCGCACGCACGCCCACCGTCTCCGTGGTGCTCAATCTCTCGCTCGAGCTCCGTGCGTTCCTACTCGAGCTAGAGTCACACTTCCTCGAGCTCTTGGTGCCAGGCCTTCAGGTGCTCCACCCACAAGCGAGGTGGGGCCCCTGCATCCACCTCGACCTCGTCGTCGAGGTCATTCGTTGGGGTAGCCTCTTCCTCATGGATGCTTTCGACGTGTCCCTCAGTGGTACCTTCCATAAAACACTCACGAGAGGGGTGATGGCTCCCCCTGCTGGAGTCAGAGGTGGAGGGTGACTACATTTCTCCCGCGAGAAGGTCATAGAAAGACTCCACGACATATTCGGTCATCCCCACGAACTCATCGTTCACGGGAGATGGAGGAGTGCATTGCGCCACAAGGTGGCCAACGGTCTCCGCGGTGTTGCGGAGATTGGACGGGAGCGCTATTGGGGCGTTCCAGATGAGGTATTCCGGGGAGAGCGGCTCTCCCTCGGCAAGCTGCATCATGACATTGGTGAATGAGAAGGTGAGGTGGCGCAGGTTCTCCTAGGACGGTCGGGGTCCGGGAAGGTGCCGAGCTGACACTCTAACCTCCCATAGTCGAAGCCGAGGAGCTGGTCACTCCGGGGGCACGGGCCTCCGGTGCATGCAACTGTAGCTCCTCAAGCACCTCGATGATCATGTCGAGGCCGGCAGAGTGGAGAGGTTGGATGATGACGACGGGAGCCCGCACCAACTCTCCCTCCGTTGTGATGATGAAGTCTAGGTTCCCGAAGCGCACGTGCACGCCCGGGACCCAGCTGACGTTGTGACTAGCCATCCAAGGACCTGGTGTGGATGTTGAGACGCGCAAAAGGCCCCCTACATGGCTTTCGTGCCAACTGTTAGTGTTTTGAGTTACCACCGATGAGAAAATTTCTAGTATTGCGTGTCTAGCTCGGATGGTGTGCTTAGAGGACACGAGGTTTATACTAGTTTGGGTAAAAAGTCCCTACGTCCAGTTCGTCGCTGCTGCTCGTGTTATTAGCACTGAAAGTTTATAGTAGAGGTTACAAACAAGTGAGAGAGGGACATGTCTCAAGTCTCTAGTGAAAGGAGTGAAAGGGTGCTGTGAGCTCGGTTGCTGCTCTTGTGTGTATCTAGGTCTGATCAGTTCGGGGTTGGATCGGATCCCTTTCATGGGACGCCCTGCTTTTTCTCTCATAGGCCAAGGGAAAGCACATGTTACAGCAGAGGAAAAGAGAAGAATGAGAGAGAAGGAGTCCTCCAGTATCACCGGATCCTTCTTATCCTTTATGCGGGTCCCGCCGACCCTGTAGATGTCAACAGGGATAGCTTCACATCGTGGCCCTGTCCGTCATTGGCGCCATGCACAGGCATCGTCTACCGGTCATGGCGTTCCATTCCGTCGCAGCGGATGTCGTGGTGAGCTGACGCGCCTCTCAGTGTTCGTACGGGGGTTAGGCAGAACAACACCGGTACGCTCGACACTATTCCTGATGTGAATCCTTAGGTATGGCCTATCGTGGCCACGGGTTACATCGGAGCATGATGATCTCTTCCTTGGTGTTAGAGTTTGGACCCAGACCCTACGCATAGACCTGGAATGGTTGGCGGTGGTATGGGTCTCTGTCGGGCGAGATGGAGCCCGTGACCTCAGGGTCGGGTGAGGCAGAGCCCGTCCCCAGAGGTTGGGCGAGGCGGAGCAGGAACCCAAGGGTCGAGCGAGGCGGAGCCCGTGGCCTCGGGGTCGGGCGAGGCGGAGCCCACGACCTCGGGGTCTAGCAAGGCGGAGCCCGCTCCCAGAGGTCTTGCGAGGCGGAGCTTGCGCGCCTAGGGGTCAGTTGGAGTTGTAGTCGCACTCTTGACTGCTCGGATGAATCAATGTTGATGGTCATTAGCTCCTCCTCTTCGGGTACCGTAGTATTGGTCCCCGACAAAGACGTACTTTAGTATTTCATGTGACTAGTTAGAATATTTATAATTAAAGGAAAAGGATCTGCAAGCACATAGATAATTATACCATTGTAGTATTTCACCCGAATGTATTTTAGGTATCGTTATTTATATTTTTACCATAGGGAAGGACGGACAGTGGAAATATATTGATAACTTATATACATGATGAAGAAATAAACCATAACCAAACTTCTACTCACAATAGGAGTAAGTCAAGAGATAAATGTATATGAATGGCAAGTAATAACTAATCATTGATCACTCAGAGTACTCCTTTCTATGGCATTAGCATGACTAAGTAGAATATTAGAGGAATAATTCCTAAGTCATTCTTAATTACAAGTCAAAGCATGTGTTGATTTGTGCAATTACACTTAGTAATCATGGTTAAGATCAACTTCATATCTACACATAAGAGATATTACTAAGAAAGATTAAGAACAGAGCTTGTCTTTCTTCATAACTAAATCCTACTTGTCCTATATTCGGGGAGTGGACTACAAAGGACTCAATGAGAGTGTCACATCCGCGATCTACCACATGACCCGGAATATAGGGTGTATCTGCAGGTAAACAATGTATAAGTACCACGCTTACACAATATCGACCACTCACCCCTGGATCCAAAGAATGAGCGCTATACGAACTTATGCATGAACATGATGATAATCTAACTATACTAAGCATATAATCAAAGTAGACGATAAACATGATAACTAGAAACATGATTAATACGAAGAACTATGTCATAACAATTGTAGCAAACATATAAAAGTAATGAGAGATACAAATAGAAGAGGTACAAATGCTATACCAAACCACGCTTTTGACACGATCAAGAATCCAAGCGAAGCTTGCCTCCCTCTAGACCTAGCCTAGCTAGCTATGCCCTAAAATATGGTGGAGCTCTGAGGATGATTAGGGTTTCTGTCTTCTCAAATGACTTTATCAGGGTTTGATGCCTCAGGAGGTGGCAGGGGCTGGTATGTATAGGCCGGAGCGTCAATCCTGAGCCCTCGGATCAAACCGACTTGAATGGATGGCGTAGATGCAACCTAGGAGGCGGTGGGGAACCAACATTCGAAGGAGGAACTGACAGGTGGGGCCCACAGGGTGGCCGGCCTGCACACCTGGCAACGTCTCGCCCTCTGCTTCGGTGATTTATCTCCTGCAGTCTTCTAGAACCTTCTGGAGTTGTTTTCACTGTGAATAAGCGCGATTAATTCTAACATTTAGGTCCACATTGACGGTTTTCTATATAAACCCGTAGAAAATATAGAATCACCAAAACTTGTGAAATTTGTTAGTTTAAACTTCTAAACCTATGTTGGTAATTATATTCATACACTCATACATGCTGTCAACGCTTCCTCGAGGGTTCTCGCTAGTTCAACTACCAACCGGTGTTCGAAGGTGCAGGCCTACAACAAGAAGTTAATTTCCGGAGCAATTCCATTTTTTCAACTGCCACGTCAGCTGTTTTTATATGACTTTCTGTTAAGTATATAAATCTGAAGTAGTAGAAAATAGTACCACTGTTTGTGGACGTACTGGAAATAAAAAAAAATATCAATATACATAGTAGGTGCTTTCCTTTTTATTGATACTTCTGCACGGAAAGACGATGCCCAAAAGTCATACACGCGATCAAACGGTGGTAGTAGTTCACGTTTCACGACATTATCACTACCTCGCAGTCTCGCACTGCACCAATGCTACAAGCCTACAAGCAAGCAACAGCCATCGTCACAGCAAAACTTGACTTGACCCAGCTGGCATGCCCTTTGCCATGATCGAACGACCGCCCGAGACCTGCTTACAGGGACACGGACGACGGTCGCTCACGGTCACCAGACGGGCAGCAGGTAGCAGAAGTCGGCGTCGTACGGCTCGACCTCCACCATCTTGGCCGCCGGCCCAGGCGTGGCCGCCCTGCTGCCGCTGCTGCTGACGTTGGCGCCCAGGACCTCCCTGATGGCCCGGCGGAGCGGCCCCGACGCCCTGGGCAGCTGGCTGTGCACCCACTCCAGCAGCGACGCGGCGTCGTCGGCGAAGTCGCGCATGTGCCAGTGCAGCAGCTTGGGCACCACGACGGCGGCGCGCTGCTTCCTGCCGGCGACGCGCACCGACGACTCCAGGTACTCCAACTTGGCGCACTCCAGCTCGTTCGACACGTCCTCCGCCGTGTACACGCGCAGCTGCACAACAACGCAACAGCACGCCACGTGAGGCGACTCAGTCTGGGAATGAAAAACGACGACAGGTCGGTCCAGGAGCTGATCGAAGCCGACAGGGACGAGACGGTACACGTACTGCTGGCGAGGAGCGGCTGCCTCTGCACAGCGCGAAGACGACGTTGGGCTCGGGATACCCTAGCCCGTACGAGTGCAGCAGATCCATCTGTCCTTCGTCATCCATGATCCCCTTGTCATCATCAAGATACCCTCTTTCAGATTAACTTTAATGAAAAGGGAAAATGATGCATTCTGCAAGAGTGCATGCATGCAGAGGGGGACAAGGGTCTGAGCTAGTTTTTCATACTTGCTTGCCGTCAGGATAGTGCCTCAGGATGAGGTGCTCGATCGAGACAACACTCAGTACTGTTCCTCCGACGTTCACTGAAGCCTGAATATGACTGTCGTCGTTAGCAATTTGTGTAAAGTTTTTTTTTTGTTCTTTTCAAAAGCCAATTTGTGTAAAGATAGCCTGAAGCAATCATTTTTTTTTCTCAGTCAGTGGAAAGAGCACTGCACTGCACCTGATTCAGCAGTGCAAGAAGCTTCTCTGGAGATGGAGGTAAACCGTGCTGAAGAAACGCCTGAAATCATGACGAAATGACTTGCCCTGAATTAGCATTTTTTGTTTTCACGCAATTGTTCGTCAACCTACGCCTAATTGCTTAAGAGTTAAGATGAAACCAGAGGATTAGCTTACGGTACATGCATCACGCAGAAGTTGTAGACGTTGATCCAAAACGCCAGCTTCTGCTTGTTCGTCAGGAGGCTGGGATCGACGAGCGAAAGCTTTTGCATCAGGCCTCTGTCAGAAGCAAAACAATTAAACAAACGCCATTATTCGGACCTGAAGCTTCTCCTGGCCGTCGCACAGACAAATTAGGAGCCCAGCTCACAGCTCAGGTCAGCTCACCTCAGGTTCTTGATGTCCACGAGGCACAGCGAGACGCGGGTGACGTCGACGGAGGCCCTCGTGAACTCGACGAACCTCCTCTGGCACCCGGTCCCGACGGCCGCAGCCTCCTTCTCCGCGCCGCCGTGGCCGCCGCCCTTGGTCGACGCCGCTCTCCGGTTCTTGAGCGGGCTCATCCCCGCGGCGGCGCCGTTCACGGACACGGAGACCTTGGGGACGAGGCTCCTGGGGCCGATGCACGAGGAGATGTTGAGCTTGGACGACGACGTGCCGCTCAGCTCCAGCTCCGCCGCGTCCGTCGTCGTCGTCTTGTTGAGCTTGTGGAAGATGGTCACCGTCAGCCTGACGAGCTCCTCCGAGAGCTTGTTCGGGCTGCTGCTCACCAGGCACGTCGTCTTCCTCTCGGGAGGCGTCGGGTTCGGATTCTCTGATGACGAGTGGCAGTGGCTGCTTCTCCTGACGACGACGTGCTCCATCTCATCTCCTGATGATCAGAAACACCATGATGATCGTGTAGCGCATCAGACAGAGTCTGCGTCAGACATGATGAGCGCCGTACGAATCGAATGAGCCCTGAATCTGCACGTGAACATTGGTCACTTCCTACCGTACCTTTGGCCGAGGCGGATCCGCCAGAAGCCTTGCTCTCGCGTTCGAGAGCTTCGTCGGTTCCTCCTGGACATGGCAGCTTGGGTAGCTGCTGCTGGGCTCCTTGGAGCTGGAGCTCCCTCCTGGACACGGAGTGCCGCTGCTGGCGGTTCTGCAGCCAGCTCTGCTGCTGCTGGAGGATGCAATGGTCCGTCCACTTCTGCTCCCGGTGCAGGCGCAGCCGCAGGTCGTCGACCTTCTTCTCCAGGTAGAATATCTCGTCCTCCACCACTGCTAGCTCCGCAAGGAGGCCCCTAACCTACACCATTGCAGTGCAGATAAAAGAAAGTAAAAAAAAAATCAGGTCAGCAACATGTTGAGACCTTGTGGTCAGCTTCCAGCCATTTGGTATGAGCAGAGAAGCACAGAGTTACTACCAGAGGAATTTTACTGTCGAAGTGTTGAATACACAAGGCAATGATATGGTCATGTGAAACAATGCAGTAAAAGGAATGTAATTACAAGCAACAATTATGAAATCGTACTGATGCTCTTCTTCTACCACGCAAGCATTTAGTGATTGACCAGTTGATAGAGGTAGTACAATACAAGAAGGCAGCATCCAAGGCAACCAGATCTGATAGATAAGAGGTACTAGTGAATAGTGATTGCCTGCAGACAAGCCGAGATTTCGAGACTAGCTCCAGATCACTCTCACACAGTAACTCTGTGTCCTTGGTTCACAAGTCAGAGGCAGGTGACATCGGATGGCAGGCAGGCAGGAATCCAAAGGACACACTGTTCCTGCACCTGGCGTTGTTCACCCGTACCCGGATCCTGAGATCTTCAGCCCTTGGAATGGAAATGGCCCTGCTCACTGTTACTGCTACAGCACATGTTATGTTACCCTAGGAGACTTGAGTGGATGCACACACGTCACCGGCGTCGAGTACGAGGGTCAGGTGACAGCTTCACGTGTGCAATATTACCTTCAGAGTTCAGATGCGGCGGTGAGGTGAAATGCTATGATGGAAATTCCTCTGGGACTGCAGCGACAGTACACTTGCAATCATGTTTGTTCTTCGTGGCTCAGACTTCAGACTGAGCAGTTTCAGCTTTTCAGTGACCAGAGTGTTAATTAACATGTGTGTCACAACTCCAAACAATCAACAGGAAATAATAAGCTGTAAAAAATCAGAATGTTCTGGGATAGTTCTGCAGAAATCAGTTCAATCTAAGCGCGGCAATACATGATGATCTCGCTCACACTGTCGGGACTGAACATTCAGACGCCACTACACGCAGGCATGGAACAAATTAAAGAGATGGTTTCGCATTTGGACGACCGATGCAATGCAAGTGAGCAGAGCGTGAGGTGCTTACATTGGTAGGAACCAGCGCGGAGAGGCAGCAATGGCAGACGACGCGCCCCTGGAGCGAGCACTGCAGGACCCTGCCCAGCTGCTGCTCCTTCTCGAGCGCCGTCTCCAGCTCCGACACCTGCACACACACAACGTCAGCACGGCCACGCATCGATCGATGCCACCCATGTAGTGCGCGATGCATGTGTCTGAATAATTCTGAAGAGACACTGCAGCTCACCTCGAACTCGAGCTCCAGCCGCTTCTCGCGCTGCTCGTCCCTGTCCATGAGGAAGTACATGAGCTTCATCTTGCACCGGCGCACCCGCGGCCTTCTTAAACCCGCGCCCGGGCCCGGTCGTCCCCGCCGCCGGTGGACGGGGTAGTAACTGCTGGTGCCGCCGGCGGCGGCGGTGGGGCGTAATGGCGTCGGCGAGCTCATTTATGGGGTCTCGGTCTCTCCGGCGGGGCGGGCAAGATAAAGGCGGAGACAATAGCGGCCGCGGGGAGTGAGAGCGACGTCTCTCGCTGCTGCCAGAGCACGGAGAGCGTGGCGGGCAACGCAAGAGCCCCGCGCGGATCGGAGGGGTTGCCGCCGCTTTCGGGGCAGGCCGAGAGAGAGGGAGGGGAGGCAGAAACGGTGGCGGGGTGACGAGGGCGCGTCGGCGTCGCGTCACGCTTCCCGTGCGCGCCAACGGAAATGGCTGGCCCATGCAATGCAACGCATGACCGGCTTAAATTCCCCAGCGGTTGACGCAATGCAAGGGGTAGTAGATGCTTACCGAGGGGCTGCGAATTTATGCCCGTGACGGCATCGGTTACCGAGGTCACTTTGATGAGGTGTCTTCCTCACATTTTTTTATGTTTTCAAAGCACAAATATTATTTTCCTATAAATTTACAAATAACAACGTTGCTTTTTCATAAATTTATAGATTAAAAGGAAGACACTCTATTAGATATCTTATTCAATCTCCTATACCTAAAAATAGCATTTTAGGTATAGAGGTGTTGCAGCAAATCTCCTACTATAAAAGACACACTCTTTCTCCAAAATAAAGGAGACATGTTTTTAAGAAACCTGCTACAACAGTGTTATTATAACCTTAAGTATTTTAATGTACTCTCCTAAAATAACTTATAGAAGATGCAATGTAAGACATCTGATGAAGATGACGAAGTCATCAACCGCCCTCTTCTTTCATCATGTCCCTGCAGAACAGGGCGCTCAGTTTGATGTATGGATTGGCCCATCATCTTTTTTTTAAAAGGCACCAGCAAGAAATTTGTTGTGCATGTATTAATAGAGTGGAAGCAAAGTACAACAAAACCTTTACAGAAACAAAAAAAACAAAACCACCATAGAACCACTGGTGGCAAAATAAGCCCAAGGCTACCGTTGTCGCGTCGCCACAACAACAACCGCAGGAAGACGCCTTTCAGCTGGCTATCGCTGCCGAAGTAGTCCTGGTCACTGGCAAGCGTGAGCAGGTGCCTCCGCGTGATTGGCCCATCATCTTTGTTGTAACTTCTTTTCTTTTTAAAAAAATGAACTAGTTAATATATCGTCATCTCATTCTCTACAATTAGTACTCTCTCTATTCCAAATTACAAGTCTCATGTCCTCGCTGCTAGCAAAATTGATGTATCAAAAGAAGTTAAAGTGACTTAGAAGGTACAGATGGAGTAATTAGTAATATAACCATAAGGAATGGGATCATCAAATTTGCCCCACCTCATTTAGAATAAGATGGATACTAAACTGAACACCCTAGCTGCCGCTAGAATCTCGAGGGCTAATCTTCTTCCTGGGCTTTTCATCTATATAAAAGCATACTATTGTGATGAAACACCGATTCAGACTAAGCCCATTGGAGTCCTCCGATACAGACTCGCATCTGAATCTGAAGGCAAATAAGATCGGCCAGTGCAATGAATTAGTGTGCAAATGGCCAGAGCAGCACTGCTGAAATAAAATGCCGTGCAGATCAATCGCGCGAAAAAACGCCAGTATGCTCCGAGAACATAAAGTCCATTCCCCATCATTTCATCTTGGTGTATATGAATCTTTTTTTTTTGAAACCATCTTTGGTATATGAATCTGATGATGTCCCAACCGCCCAGGATCCTAGCGTCCTATGGCTGAGGATATCGCATATCGTACAATAATTGGCTGGCTGCCTCCGTGCAACGATCAGCTGACAAGTTGCTTTCGCAGATCAGGCTAATCGGTACAGAGCACAGATGATCAATACAATTTTGGCAGCATTCGACCAATGTGGGCACAAGGCTGCCTTGTCCCAACAGCCCAAACTCAGGCTCACACACTAGGCGTTGGCTGATGCACTACCAAACCCATGATTCTGATGACGGATCCACCGTAATTCGCCAAAAAAAAGATCAAAATAAACACCATTATTGATATGTCCAGAGGTAAACATTCAGCTTGTTCGCTTGTTGGTTTCAACCGGGGCTTATCAGCCAGCCAACAGTGTTTTCCTCTCACAACAAACCAGCACCAGCCAAACTTTATCAGCCCAGAAACCATCCAGCGAACAGAACAATTATTTGCAAGCTCAAACTGTAGCCTCCCAAAAAGCTGGGGGAAGGGAAAACAGTATCTGCTCCAGCACAAAGTTACCACTAGCTTACATAGCACAGTTAAACAAAAAAATGTATGTTCCTCCCTCTTCAGCATATCTCTGCATCAGGGTGAAGGGTTGGAACATCTTAAGCGGACTTCACAGTGGCCGCGTTGATGATATCGATGAACTCAGGCTGCAGACAAGATAGGGGAAGGAAACAGTCAGCAACATGGGATTGTTGACAAGGCCAGCAGTCATTTTGTTGTTTCTTTGGTTCACCAAAAAAAAAAGGAACAGGACATCAACTGTCTTCCTGGATTTTTCATTACCTTCAAAGAAGCTCCACCGACAAGGAAACCATCCACATCAGGCTTCGCTGCCAGCTCTTTGCAGTTCGCAGCAGTTACAGAACCTGTAGCAGAAAGCACGTGTGATTATCAAGATGATTTAGCAGCCAGTACATAAAACACCAAAAGTCAATTGCTCCAAAAATGTATATTACCTCCGTAGATGATCCTTGTAGATTCAGCAACCTCAGGGCTGACGTTGGTCTTTAGCCAGTCCCTCAGGGACGCGTGCACCTGGGAACATTATACAGATCTGAGTGTTTACATAATACAAATCCGAGTGTTGCACTAAGAAAAGGATAACGTGTGTAGCAGATTAACATATTTATAATCATATAGTGCATCACAGCCCAATATTGAAACATAAAAATATATGAACCAGTAGAGAGTTTTACCAAGAGGGTACAGAACTTACTTCCTGAGCCTGAGCTGGGGTGGCAACTTTACCAGTTCCAATGGCCCAGACTGGTTCATAGGCAATAACTACGTTGCTCCAGTCATTGATCTTCTCTGTAAAACAAACAGCCATTTGATCCATTCAGCCTGAATTTTCATACGGCATCAAAAATTTTAACTTGGTAAATTCAAAGCAAGGCACTAAAAGTCCACTTGAACCAAACAGAGCAGAAAACAAAGGGGGGGAAATCCAGCATGTGAATTCATCCAAGCAATAGAAACACACATACTAAGCTGATTCTAAACTACAGCTGTTACAGAAAAACAGTAATGTTTGAACCAAACATGTAGATTATCTAACCAAACTGAACGCCAAGATCTAATTTTTATCATGAACAAGACGAAACAAAATTCACCAGAAGAAAAGTGTTCACCAAAAGATGTATAGCTACAATTATATATAATGTTAAAGTTCCATGCATGGGAGCTAATTGTAGAAGCGCTTGAATATAATCAATCAACATGAAGAGCATAGAAAGAGACTACACAATCACTGGACTGAAAGTAAATGAAAAGTACCAGCAATTGCTTTTGTTTGTGCAGCAACAACTTCCATGGTTGACCCAGCCTCCCTCTGCTCAAGGGTCTCACCAACGCATGCAATGACCTTCAGTCCCTGAGACAGGGCATAAGCAACCTTGTCTCCAACAAACTGGCATCCAAACAGAAGAGTAAAACCATTTGATGTGAACATGGCATCAAAGCAGAAGAGTAAAACCATTAGATGTGAACATTCTTTGGAAGGCAGTGGTCATGGTGTGAAGACAGGGCCTCCACAGTATGTCAACAATCAAATATATTGCAAAGGAAACATAGTCCCAAATGGAAATATGCATGCATTTACAACCACAATGCAAATGAGACGAGAAACATGTTGCATAAGATGCAACCTGGATCATACCTCATTCGATTCTCCCAGCAGAGCTCTCCTTTCAGAGTGTCCAAGAATGACCCAGGGAACACCAAGGTTCGCGAGCATCTCAGCACTGCATTAATAATGGCTTGGTTATCAACTAATAGTGAAATTGAATGGAGAAAGCGCCAAAGCGCAATATACAAACTGCTGAATTAGGTTACATATGCAGAATGCTTAACATAGGATCAGTTAATCAGTATGAAAATAGTTAAAATGGAATAAAAGCGTGAAAGGTGACATCAAAAGACTCGGTGCATAATGGTCAAGAGCACATAATCAATTATTCTAGTGCAAGACTGTATGCATTTGCATTGAAGACTTGACATTAATCCTTCCTCAGATTGGTCATTATAGCATATGGTCTGATCAGATCAGACAGGAGAGAATTAAAGACTAACCTGACTTCACCAGTGAAAGCACCTCCCTTCTTCACCCAGCAGTTCTGAGCAGCAACTTGGAACTCTGGGCGCAGCAGGCTCTTGACCACAGGAAGGAAGACATAAGGAGGGCTAACAACGACCTCTGCAATGCAACCAATTCCAAATGGCTAAGTACATCATACAATACGCTTTAGTAAATTTCTCAGGATTACGTAAATCTGCAAAGTTCGAGGTCAGTCCTAAAAGGCATTATGTGAAGTTTTGGCGTCCATACCAACAACATCTGAAGGGGGAACCTGTCCTTCATTCAGGGTTTTGACAATCTTCTCCACCTGATCTGTGGTTCCGTTCTGCAAGCATCAAGATCAACCATGACATGATCAGTTAACAGGCAATTCACTATGTATACATGTCACTTGTATGGGAAATTTGGCAAAGCAACAGGCTCTTTCACTGCCAATGAGTATTGAAGTCGCCGGAGGAGCTCCAATCTATGCTCGGATTGAGCAAGTTCCTCCACGAAACATCTAAAATTTACGACGAGCTCCATGACAAGAAGCTGGTTGAAGCTAAGGTTAATTCTTGCGGCAGACAAGAATGAATCTCCAGAAGTTGGAGATCGAACTTCTATGCTGCTACAGACAACATGCAGCACGAAACTACGACAAGGGTTTTTTCGATTTGTTCTGGGCTGGGAGTCTGGAAGCACGGGCGGATTGGAAGAACAACGCTGGAGTCTGGAAGCACGGTTGGATTGGAAGAAGAACGCGGGCACTTCCAGCTAGGTCAAAACATACAAAGACCATCAACATCACCTTGTCTGATTCCGTTTTGTTTTTTTCCGAAAGATCCCTGATTCCGTTTTGAACGAGAACGACCAGATCAACTCTAATCGTGGCCGGATCTCAAGAGATTACGCCTGGAGGCATCACATCCAGGCTTCCCATCCAAGAGCAAAAACCCAATTCTTACGGCGATCTGAATCGAGAGCAACAGAATCCACTAGCAATTTATCCCGTATCCCCCGAAAAAAAATGAAAAACTAGACTAACCGCATCCGATCCACGAAAAGAAAGACAGGCATGTCGACGGGGGAAGAGAAATTACGCATTTCCAGTTGCCACCGACGAAGAACTTGCGGCCCATCTCGGGGAAGCGTCGTCGATTAGATTGGGTTCGGATGGGGAAGAGAGGGAGGGAGGGGCGCTTCAGATTGGATTTCGCTTCTTCTTTGTAAAAGGAAAGGAAGACAAGGGGCACGGGATAATATAGGCGGGGTAAGGTTTGTGGCCTCCCATGTGATCGTATGAGGCCGGCCGGCCGGCCAGTACTCACGATGACATGTGGCCCCTACTGCCACCATCGAATTTTCTGGGAGGTTTTACCTTAAATAAAAAAAATAACAGATGTATAGATACCTTCCTGTCTCTATCTCTATATCCTCTTCTTTGTCTATCTACAGTATACACGTATTTATCTATATTTATTATCTTTTCTCCGTCCCAAAATAAGTAACGTTATGGTATCCGTGCTGGTCAAACTTACGTAAATTTGACAATATTTATAGACAATATTACATTTATCTCCAAATTAGTGTACTATAAAAATAGATTGAACGATCTATTTAATGATATTAATTATGTACTTTAAATATTAATATTTTTATAGATTTAGTTAAAGTTAAAAACATTTGACTCATGAGACGTGGGACCGATATTTATTTCTGGACGGATGGAGTACTATATATATGGAGTATCTCTATCTATCTATATATATATATATATATATATATATATATATATATATATATATATATATATATATATATATATATATATATATATATATATATAACATATTAGAAAGCAAAAAGTGATTCTAGTCCATCTAAATCTATCTATAGAATATAATCATATTAAAGAGAAGAGTTTCTTTTAATCCTTTTTTGTTTTAAAAATATCTGTGCATTCTCTATTTTTATATGTGACTAAGTTAGAAATGACTTGTGTCTAATAACGATACGAAATCTGATATCAAAATATATTAGATCCTGTTGCAGCACACCAAAACATATTTGCTAGTTATAAGCAAAAGCTAAAATAGCTAGACGTGTAGGGGAAGCCTAATCGAATCTTTGCTGGTATGATTGCTTCAATCTGATGTGCTATGAGTATCCCAATTCGCCACTTTCTTTTTAATTAAAGATAACTGTTCGTGTTCCTTTCATAGAGGATGCTCCTTCCTTTTGTGTTTTTTTTTCCTTTGTTTTGTACTTGGTTCCTTGGTTTAATTTAAGTTTTCAGTAGGGGCTCCTCGCCCCTCCTTTTCCTTCTATAAAAAAAATGTTCGTGTTCCTACGCAGCTGGGAATAAATTAAAGCGGTAGCCGTGGAGTAGTACGAGTGTGTCACGCACACAGGCAACGCGGGTGTAGACGATCCAGCGGCGGCGGATGGTATTACTGTGGGCACTTGGCGCAGCGGTGCGGAACATGGGGCGCCGAAGCAGCGGCCGGCGGATCGAGACGCTTTTGGGTGCGTTTGCATGCTTCCATCGTCGATGACTCGATGCGCACCTCTCGCCTCGGCGATTCCTTCCGCTTTCCAGCTCTGCCCTCGCTGCAACTCGGTTCGGCGGCCGGCGGCCATTCGGCCCGCGCTCGGTTCGCAGCCGGGCCAGCTTATTAGAGCATCACCAAGAGTTACCTACTTTTTTTTTTCTAAAAACTTTAGTTTGATAACTCCTAAAAAGATTTGGAGAGAAAAAAAAAAGCTGGATCTCCAAAAGTTTCTAATAAATGACATTAAAAAATCAATTTTGAGGCCACGTGAATTATGTTGCGGCTCGAGAGGAGGAGCTGGCGCACGTCGTCGGCAGCTTGCACGATCCAGCAGCCGAAGATGCACCAGCAGCTGCAGCTTGAGATCCAGCAGCCAAAGATGTACCAGGAGTAGACATTTTCCCCTTTCTTGAAAGAAAAAACACCAATACTCAGTATTCACGTACAGTCACAGTGACACACAGAACGCAAAGCTTCTTAACACAGACGTGTAGGCAGGCGTGTAGCCGGCCAAGAGCATTACTTGAATATACACATATACACAGGAGCAAATGGTACTTGAATATCCAGTACGACTCGTCGCTGTGGGTGTACGATCCCGCCAACGCGGCCACCACGCCGGACGCGCGTGAGCCCATCGACTACCTCTACGTCCGGGCGATCATCTCGTCGGACCTGGTGATGATCTTGGACTCGACGCCGCCGTCGGCCACGGACACGGGCAAGCTGGCCGCTGGAGACGCGCCAGCCAGAAGAGCGCCGAGCACCTCGCCGAGCGAGGCGAGCGGCGCTGGCCACCCGCAGCGCTGTGTGAGCATGCGAGGGACAATGAGGGGAGGCGGAGCAGCGACTGGCGGAGTCGTGGTGGATGAAGTCCACGCTGAACCCGCCTTCACCGGCAACAACAGAGGCCGTGCAGGTGCAGCCTCGTTGCCCGGCGAGGAGGAGGGTGAACAGAAGAAGCATAGTCGTCGCTTCCATGCGAGGTGGCGCTGCCGGCTGGCTTCAGGTGTGGAGGAGGAAGCCGTGTCCACGCGAGTCGCGTCCGCGTAAAGTTACATGGAACGGGAGAAGATTTATCAAGTGCGTAAATTTTAGGAAGAAGTATTAGGAGTTGTTGGAGAGAGTTTTTTTTACTTGTTCTAAAAACTTAGGATTAGGAAAGGGTTTAAGGAACTCTCGGAGATGCTCTTACTGCCCTTCTTTTGAGACGGACAAGGCGGGGCCGAGGGGAAGCTTTTTATTGTTTTGGGCCTGGTACCTGATGCCGGTTGAGCCTGAATCAAAAAAGACTAGAAAACTGTAGCGCGGCGTTGCCACGCTTCTCCACTATATATTCTCTTTTTATACTAACATTCGTGTTTTTTTTTATCATTATCCAGTGGAATTTGAGAATATTAAATATATGGTTTTACCAAGAATAATATGGTAATATTAATACATGTAAGGTTCACCTTATCTAATATGTTTGCTTACGTCTATTTGTTAATGCTATTTAGAGGACCCTAGTTGTCGACGAAATATGGTCAGCAGTCTACCTAGGGGTATGTCCAAGGTAGTAGATTGTCGGCAGACAGATGTGTAAGTCACAAACAAGATGGTGACGACACAAAACGGACACGAGGTTTTATCCAGGTTCGGCCGCCAAGATGGCGTAATACCTACGTCCTGCGTCTGATTGTATTGCTGTATGTCAATGAGAGATGTCTTTTAGAGGGATCCCCTGCCCGCCTTATATAGTCCGGAGGACAGGGCTACAGATCTAGAAACTAATCCTAGCCAATTACAATTGCCATATGTGGCTGGATAAGGATTCCTATTCTAACCGACCAGGATCTTGCTTGATCGTCAAATCTGTCTTGACTCCTTGCGCGGAACTCCAAACAGGCTGGCCGGGCCGCGCGTCATCTTTTAGCGTACCGGACCCTCTGATCCGAGCCGGCCCAAGCCTAGTCGTAAGGGTATAGGGGTTAATACCCCCACATCTAGTCCCCGAGCACCATGTATTACGCTGTGACACGCCGTTTGATCTCCTTCGACTAATGCAATCCGTCTTCATGTCATTTTCAACTGATTGAAACATTGACCAATCAAATGCGCCAACATTCTGATCAATACAGAAAGCAGTAGACCACGATTATAGCCGAAGATTCTGGTTGTCCGAAGAATGCATGGTGCTCTTAAAGAAAAAAGAAAAAAATTTCTTTCCTGATCAAGTGTGCCCACTTGTATTTCTAAAAAAAATGTAAGTGACCCTTGTACAGTAGTTGTTATGACCAACAGTCAGAGCGTAAGGGTTGATAAAATAAACACATTCACCACAAGGTGAAGTGTGCCCACTTAGTCCCCGAGCCTGGTAGTAGGTGACGCCGGCATGTGGTGTCAGGGTCTAAAAAGAACTCCCATTCAAGTTGAAAATCCAATCATAATACATGCAATACGGGATGCACCGGCAGGTGCATCGTACCGATGTAGTCCCCGAGCTTGCTGGAAGGCAAAGTATAAGCCTTGTAGCAAGGTTTAAATAAATGTCTCTCAACTATATGTGAGTACAAATCACTTGTAGCCGAGGAGAGCGGTCTCCGAGCAGTGGTCGGGACAGTTCCCGAGCCCGATAGTAACCCTGACAATCAGTAAAAGCGTAGGGGTCGATTAAATAAACACATTCACCACAAGGTGAAGTGTGCCCACTTAGTCCCCGAGCCTGGTAGTAGGTGACGTAGGCACGTGGTGCTAGGGTCTAAAAAATTTTTCTACTGAAGTTAAGAATTCAGTCGTCGTACAATCAATACGTGATGCACCGGCAGGTGCATCGTACCGATCGATCTCCCGAGCTTACTGGAAAGGCAAAGTAGAAACCTTGTAGCAAGGTCTAAATAAATGTCTCTCAACTGTATGTGAGTGCAAATCACATGTAGCCGAGGAGAACAATCGCCGAGCATTCTTCAAAACCGTCCCGAAAACACGGTAGTGGTGCAGACCATCCCGAAAGCACAATAGTGGTGTCGGAACATCCTCGAAAGCACAATAGTGGTCGAGCGGTCCCCAAGCACAGTAGTGGTCGGGGCGATCCCCGAAAGCACGGTAATGGTCGGAAGCGGTCCCCCGAGCACGGTAGTGGTGCAGGCGATCCAGAGCACGCAGTAGTGGTGCAGGCGGCCCCGAGCACGGTAGTGGTGCAGGCGATCCCGAGCACGGTGAGTGGTGCAGGCGATCCCAAGCACGATAGTGGTTTGGACCATCCCTGAGCATGAGTATTGCAGCAAAGAAACAAATGTCGCTTGTACTATTACTTGGTGTATTTATGTATCTTCTTACTCTAGCAACGAAGAGGCGCGTACACTGGTAACAAAGGGGCATGTATATTGGCATAGATCTCAAGGTTGTGAAAACAACCGTCTACGGCCCGTGCGCATGTCTCCCAAGAATCTCGAGCAGCCTTCTTCTTCCTCTTGCCAACAGCCTTCTTCTTCCTCTTGCCAACCGATAAGTTACTTTTTACTTTTTACCGATTCCCATTACCATTCACCGCCGCAGCCTTCTTCTTCCTCTTGCCAACCCTAATACCTCCAAAATCATCACCAATAACCCCTCCACCACATCCACCTTCATCAGCAAGGGCGGATTCATGGTGAAGAGCGACGCCCAGAAGAAAACCGGAGTCATGGCGAAGGAGTGGTGGAAGTCAAGAAGCAACGAGCAGACCATCGAAGACCTCGTCATCATGGAAGTACTCCACAACAAGGCACTCGCAGGGTGGCGCGCGCCGGAAGGAGAAGGGTACCCCAATCCACAACCAGATGAGATTGTGGTTTTCAAAGATTTCTTCAAGCGGGGTTTTGGGGTTCCAGTGCACCCGTTCCTTCAGGGGCTCTGTTTGTATTACGAGATTGGGGTTTGCAATCTACATCCCAACTCGATTCTTCTTGTCTCCACCTTCATTCATCTTTGTGAAGCATATGGTGGCTTCCAGCCCCATTTTGACTTCTTTCGCCATCTTTTCTATCTGTGGAAGAAAGGAAGCGGCGGCTTGAAGATAGCCGAAGGTGTGTCCCTTAATCTGCGTGACGGGATGAAGGCCCAGTACTTGCACTGCCCTTGGAACACATCACTGGACGACTGGTACAAGAAGTGGTTCTACATCCGCGAAGAGCCGAGCACAATCACACTGTGCGATGTGGGATTCATTCCGGAGAAGAACAGCTGGTCGGAAAAGCCCGAGCACCTAAAACAGATCCAAGAACTACTTGGGATGATCCCATGGAGGAAAATGGATGGTCCGAGTGTGGTTGAAAACTTCATCAGCCGAAGGATCCAGCCCTGCCAGAGGAGGGTACATCCTGGCTACGAGTACCAGGGTAGCGCAGACCCAACGAGGACCAAGCAAGAGGCGCTTGACAAGATCGAAGTCAAAGCCAGAATTGGAGAGCTATTTAACTTAGCTAATCCAAATTATGTGAGATTGAGCGACATCGAGCACGCTTTCAAGCTCGCCCGACCTCCCCCAAAGGTAAATCATTCTGCCTTGTACCCGTAGTCTTATGTTGTAACAAAAACTTACTGTGTTATCTCCTTTATGTTTCCCAGATTAATGGTAGAGATAGAGCAACAGTGTTCGTGTCTCCACCCCCTGGTGTAGATTGGCCGCAAGTTGCCGACCCAACCGCCCAGACCAGCGCCGGCATCGAAGACGTCGACTGGGCCATGCTCGGAGTTGGGGAGGAGGCAACGGCCAGAGCTACTGGTAAGCGGGCAGCGGCCAGCAAACGTCGTCAGGCGATCTTCACATTGTCAGACGATGAAACAGAGGATGCGGACATCTGTCGACTCATCCCTAGAAAGAGGAGGAGGCAACTAGAGCCGATGGATCAAAGTGGCTCCTCCGTGCCAATGGGACCCACATCGCTGACCACTGAAGTACAGAGGACAAACGGCAAAGGGGTCGAGCATCAAGCCCCGGCGCCGGTGCTGGTCGTAGAGGGAAACCAGGTGACACCCACAGAGCACGCGGAGCAAGCACGGCAGAAGAGACGCGCCTTCGCCACATCATTCCGCGCTTCCAAGCTGTAAGTATTTGTAACCTTGATGTAAGCTTACAATTGAATAATGTCGTCTTCTGAACTTATCTCGGATATATTAGGTCGGTGTCCACCGAAAATCCAGACCAACTAGCCGGGTGCGGCATGACTCCGCCAGCAATGTCAGAGAAAACTGCCCAGCAGCCGGCTATGGAGGAACCTATAAGAGAAAGTCTGCCAGAGCCTCAGCAGACGAGCGGCCAGACAACAGTCCCCGAGCAGGTGGTCGAGGGGAGAGCCGAGCCAAATACAGGTGCTCCGAGCACTAACCCTGCTGAGGGTGACATGTCAGCGCCAAGGATAACAGACCAAACCAAAGAGCAGCAGCCGAAGGTGGCACAGAGCGCGTCTGCCGATGCTATAGCCCACGGGAAGGCTATAGTGATCGCAGAGGCTGCAAACTCCGGACCAGCGCCGCTACCCGAACATGAAGCCGAAGAGGACAAAGTAGAGGAGGTCCTGGGTCATCCCCAAGACAAATGACAACATGTATATGTGTCGCGCTGGCGGAACGACCAATAGGTTGTTCATGAAGAAATCCCAGAGATCGAAGAGACCATGAAAGTTGAACGAGCAGCGAAACGTCTGGTGACGGAAGTCCAGGTATGTTTTGCTTGACCACCTGATCCTGCTACCCAGTCAAACTGTCTGACTTAGCTTTTTACATGTAGGACTTAATGAAGACCGCTAGGTACCGAAAAAAGTGCTTCGACCAGATTGAGGGAATCACAACAAGCAACAAAGAACTGGCGGTCGAGGTGGAACGCTTGCGCCACCAACTTGAAGCCACCAACCAGGAGAGGACGGAGCAAGATGCACAAAACTAGAACCTAGTCATCCAGCTCAGTAACAAAGAGCAGGAAAAACAAGTAAGTTGGCACTTTATCATAACAAGTGCATGAC